CATGGGCCTATACAGGGTAAGGAAATGGAGCAAGTCAAGCTATGTCGCCAACAAGGGGAAAGGTAGAAGCTGCGCCTCGAAAATGCTATGGAAACGGGTATTCGCTCGCAGAGTAATGCCATGCGCCCGGGGGCGAGAAGTGAACAACAGGTGCGATAGGAAATTATGTCGTGGGTATTAGTGAGGTCGTGCATTACGCCGTAAGGGTTGCAATGTGTGGCCGTGTAGTCTGCATGAGCCTTGCGGCTCATCGACGATCAAGTTGGGCGAGTAGCTGGTCAAGCTCAACCCAGTTGTCCGTGGTGACTGCGAACTTGCGGTGCTTGCGCGAGACGACGTGCTGTATGTTGTCAGTATGCTGTTTGTAAAGGAATGCTCGTAGTGCGTACCTCGTCAAAGTCATTGAACTTCTCCCTGCAGTTCTCGCAGTAACCAGGCTTCAGCTCCTTCTCAACAGTCTTGCGCCTGCGGAGGGCTGCTGCTTTACGAGCTTGTCTTTCTTCGTCTCCATCATCGTGTGTGTGACCCATGTTCTCTTGGGCCTTGCGCTTTGCCGCGCGCATGGGTTGAGAATGCTCATAGCTGAGCGCAGCCCTGACATCGTTTGTAACGGACGAATGGCCACTATTCGTATTCGCCGACGGTACGCTGTTCTTCTCGAGGACCTTTCGTTTTAGCTGGTTGACTTCCTTGCTGTTTCCAGCACGAGGGGCAGCAGCAGTCGAGGAGATCATTTGCGAGCGGATAGCGGACGTGATGTTCGATTGGTGTAGACCAGACGCGACCGGCTCACCAGCGATGAAACGGGGCATGGCTCGGATGCTAGCCTGAGCACTGCCAAACATAGGTGGTGGGCCGTCTGCCGTGTTGCATCGCTTGGGAGGAAGGGCCTTGGGAGGATCTAACGGTTTCGCATCTCCATCCTGTTCTTCCTTGACGATGGCAGCAGGGGCGCTGGGACGCCTTGCCAGGTTGTTGTTCTCTCCCAAAGCATTCTTCTCTTCCATAGCTGAAGCAGCACGTGTCCGTGGCGCCTGGGCAGCCTGCCTTCGGCGTGCTTCCTGCTCTTCCTGCTGTCGGCGACCGAAATGGGGATCCTCCACGAACGGGCACTTGCCGTTACCGGAAGCACGGAACTGCGGCCATTTGCCCTTCTCTTTCTCAACCTTCTGGTATTCTCGGATCATGACGGGTCGGGTAACCTCGTCCATATCGTGCACGTAGACGTAGTATCCACGGAGCGGAATCATGTCCTGCGAGGCCATGACGTAGTCGCGGTCCAACTTCTCATTTTGTAGCAGCCTTTGCAAATCGGCAGGACGGCCCTTGTGCTGCGTAGCCACCGCCTGACGTGTCGAATGGGTAGACGCGTCCTCCCCAGTTTCCTTGTTGAACATGGTATCCACCATGCGCTGCAACTTCTCGACGGACCATATCTTCATACCCAAGCTCTTAGCCTTGTACAGGATATCACCACGGTCGGACTTCTCGAGGGCGGCATCGAAGATGGACTTCTTGTTCTCCAGCTGGGCCGGGTTGACGGTGCCTTTGTGCGAGGATGAACTGCCATCGAGGTCGGCGGGAATGGAACGCGTCGTGATGACATGGGTGACTTCCCGAGAGAAGAACTTGACTTCTCGCTGGTGACTGTTAGCACGACGGATGTAGGGAAGAGTATGCCAGACGTACGGAACCTAGGACGCGTGCCCTGTTCAAAAGTTTGTCTTTCTGGGGTTCTGAGACGCTGTCAAAGTAGAAGGCAAACTGGGGAAACAGCTTGCGGTAGTGACGCTGCCATTGTCGAATCGTTTCTAGGTCGTGAGATGCACGCTGTGCGGCCTGCTTTGACGGGGCCTTGGTCTCTCTTGCTGCTTCCAGCTTGCGAGTCAAAGCCGTGGGCTGGGCCCCACTCCGACGAATAAGGCCGTGACGGCGAGCTTCAGCATCATCGACCTCGATGAGCTGTTTTTTGGGTGGTGGCTGGCCATAGGGGACATCGCGTTGCTCGCTGGCGTGGGAGCGTTGGCGCTTTCCTCCTATGGCAGTCGCGCGTAACGGGGAGTTGGTAGCGTTTTGCAGGTTGGCGAGGGGGACGCGCCGGTTCGACATGACTGAAGGAACCTGGGGCGACGGAGGGACAGCCACTGCTGCCATACGTAGGATAGCGGCTGAGGGTGCTTCGAAGTGTAATAGATGGGCGTGGTGGGAGGGGCACGTGTGCGTGTAGCTCACGACGCGACGGTACAGGCACGTCGAGGTTTTCTAGCAACGCGTAGCAGCCATGTCGATGCGAGGGAGCTTCAGAGACCGAGTGGGATGTTGACGACACAGCAATTGAGCGAAGGTGAAGCGCGTTGCAGACGTCGATCTGCTTTCATCGACCAAGGAAAGAGTGTCTTTGTTTGGTCCGGAGGCTGGGTACAGTATGATGCAGGTGCAGGCTAGAGCAACTGTGGTTAGCCTGAAAATCTCGCGCGAACCATCCACAACATCATTTGCCTAGACAACGACCTGGGCAAACAATACACCCTTGCCGACAACACCGTCAGTGCGCCCTGCACGACATCTCGCGTCTGCGAATCTCCCACCGTATAGCTGGCTCACGATTCAGCGTATCAGGGGAAGATTTGCAGCTTCTGCATGCGGCGCGCCTCTGCTGCTTGCACTGACGCCGACCCCACTTCTCCTGTCTCCTGTCCTGGGAGTAATTCGACGGCGAGCGCTGCACCATTAGGCCCGTCTCATTTCGCGTCCTTAGGCCAGCACTGGCTGGTGGAATTCTCCCGCGTCTTCCATTTCCATGGGACCGTGACAGCTTCAAACTTATCAAGGGTCTGGATGATGGAGGCTTTTGTGGGTAGCCGGAAGTGTCACCCACTTCGGCCGCGACTTTGTTCTATGGGCCGCAAAACACCGGAAGCGTCAAGAACATTGCATACGGAAATAGACAAAACACACATACAAAGACGTCAAGTCGGTGAGGTGCGCACTAGTGCCGCCGTGTATTCATCAGGTATTTCAAGAAGCAGATTCTCAGCAGAGTATACTATGTGATGACATGGACTCTGCATATACGGTCACAGTTGACCCTGAAACAATAGGTCTGCTGTCACATACGCTCCTACACACTCCTTCTAGGCCTTTCAATTTTTTCTCAGACCCTCGTTCTCGCGGTTATCATGTTCTTGGTTTCCAGCGCTGGCTCGTCCGGGGCTTTGCTGCCTTACCACTACACGCCAACCCAGGAAAAACTGAACACCCTAGAGCCTACGTCGACGTTAGGTCACCTACTTTCCAAGGTTTTGTTTTAATGTAGCCTGCAAACCTGTTCGGGTTTTTACTTGTATAAGGTGACTATCCACTATACCCTGTCGATGTCACTTCGTCTGCTGTTTCTTCCAAGATCGTATAGAATATGTGGAAACCAGAATTCTGCGGATATGAACGAGTGTGAACATCGGGCTTGTACATCAAGATCATGATCGTAACACCAGGTCATCTATCTCCTCCGCGTCTTGCTCAGTGAAAGGTCCACGCGTGCGGATGGTGACCTGATCATTCACTTTGACTTGGGCCAAACGCAAACAGAGAGCGCCTATAAATTCTCTGGACTGCGTGTTTTTCGCACCTCCACTCTCCTAACTCGACTATATACAGCATCGTCACCATGACCGATTCGTATCGTCCGCCGTACAACTCCAACCGACAATGGACACCAGCGTCTGCACCTTCTGAGGCTGCGCTCAACTACGACGACGCGGATGTGAACCGTATTCCAATCAATCCTCGCCGTTCCAACGCCACAGTTTCAGCTCCATCATCACGGCTATGGGATGAAGACCTGAACTCGCTCATGCACCGCACTATCCGCGCCTACGATCTCGTCGTGAACTACGTCCGCGATTCCCACGGCGGTACCCGCTGGTCACGCGAGGACATTGATCGCGTTCGAGACTTCGGCGCCTATCTGCATGGCGACGTCCGCGATTTGAAGCACTGGAGCGAAGTGGTAGCAAAGGAGGGTGAACAAGATGCGTACACTATGGACAAGATCCGCGATGACGTCGAGAACCTGCGGAAATACTGTGAGCAGATTCAAGCCTTCATCAGGGATACCGAACGTGTTCCTCTGCGCCAACGTATGACACGAGACGATGCAGTGCAGGCTGGCCAGAATGTGGATGATGGTCATGGTTTTGATGGTGGTAAGAACATCTTCCCTGGAGGTGGCGCCCTAGGTACTGACTTCTCGCTGCCTCCAGACACCAACCAGCTCGTAGAGAGCACTCAAGAAGGCGAGGATATGCACGTCGAGATGAGTACCGACCTGGAGGAGAAGCCTGAAGTGGTCGATCCGACACTTAACCCGCGGCAGGCAGACTGGGCGACTGCACCTTCAAAGCGATTTGCTTGGTGAACGGTCGTACGTTTTTGTACCTAGGTAGCCTTCTCACACGTGCACTTTTGCAACAGATACTGTAGAACGAGTGCTAGACTAGTTCACGTAGCACGTTGGCGTCGTGTGACGAAGCAAAGATATCCAGATGTTCCCACACGTTTTCCACGTTCCAGCTGATTGGTGCTCGGTGCTCGGCTATCTCAGGACCCCTGCGCAACGGCCTGCACCTGTGGTGTGAGCGACTCAACGCTTTCACATGCTTGCAACTCACAACTCTCGAAAATAGCACGGATTCGGAATAATGCCGTCTGCGCCAAACGAGGATAGCCGCTATGCGGCGGCTGTCGCAGCTCTAGGCTTATCTCGCATATTTTCTTCATCTTCGATCTCGACCCATTTCCATTCGGCTGCTTCCTATTCGTGTGCGCTCGCGGAAGAGTCTGGGTGAAGCCGCCGCTGGGATCTACGACCGCACAGCTTGGTGGATACGCCCGGGAGATAAGCCGAAAGTATGCTGAAGGTTGAACGCGCTGATATCTGCACGTCGACTCTTGACACGCCGTCTCTAATGGAAGGGGAGGAGACCAGCTTCCGACCCAGTATGCTCTACAGCGTCCTGCCCACCGTCGTATCGAACCATCTTCCGACGATACCCTCGCTCCGACAATCTCTCAACGACGTACGAAACCGCGGATCACATAGTAAATCACCCTCAGTCGACGAACTACCACAGCCCGAGACGCCTCCTCCAGGCTATTCGTCGATACCCCCGAGCGGCTCCGTTACACCACAGAGACTGTCAGTGGCGTTGAGTGAGGCAGACGTCGAATTCGTGGACGATGGACTGGACAGACCTGGCTCTTCAGGAAGCGCACCTCCACAGCCACATGCCACTCACGAGAGTGGCTGTGGTATTAGGTGGAAGTACGCTACCTTAGGTATGGATGGTCGCTTACGAATGGTGACTTTACATGCTCACACCTTACAGGAACAAGCCTTGTGGCTCAAGCATCTCGAGAATCAAGCGAATCGATCAGTAGCCCCGACGAGACATCCGCGACGCTGACTCGACAACTCTATATACACGGCATAACATATCTTCTTCGGGGGCTACCAGCGAAGCTCACCCCAGAAGAGACGTTGAGCATACAAGCGGCTCTTCCACAAGACGTGGTGGTCGACACAACGAACGACGTAAGCGCACACGCGTTACTCCCAGTCTCGCAACGCAGCCCTAGTACTCAGAGAGCGCCTCCACGAGACCCCTCGATCCTGCACCGTCTGACTGCCACCCTCGTTCTCCAGTCCTTCATCCTCATACAGTTTCTTCTACCATATATCAAGCTGTTCCTATCACACACCTACCAGTTCGAGAGGAAGCATCAGATCACAAAACGGCTCGTCAATACAGGCGTCGCTACTATCGATGATATCGGACGGAAGACGCTGCGGTTGTCGCAAACCGTGTGCCAAATGAACGACGGGATGGTAGGACAAGCGATCAACGAGATGACCATTTGGTGGGTTCGAGGCGTCACCGGAGGCGTTCAACAGGGTTTCGCGGAGGGATTACAAGCTATGAGGATAGCAGAGAGCCAGCGGGATGAGGAGGATATGGGGCGGATCAACTGAGTATTTGGACTGCATTAGCTACGGCGTTAGGCATTTGCATAACTTGATAGACTGACGAATTAATGATGTGCATCGACTGTTCCGCTCGAGCTGCTGGACCCTGATCATGTTCTACACGTGATCAGCCGCTTATCGTTATCGGGCGGACTTCCTAGCGCGTTGTCGACGCACGTCCCTTGGAAAAGTGCAATGGCAAAGTTTCTAGCGGTAACATTCTAACGAGTACACGCCATTCTTTTCTCCCCATTCGCCGTCTTCTTTTCAGGCGCACACGCAGAGTACTCCGGTTGCTCATTCTAATCGTTCAATATACCCTCTGTTACGAACGAGCGTGTACCATTACCCGCACATCATGTTCGGCGCAGTGAGAAGATGTCCCGCGACCCTCGCGAGGAATCTTGCCTCAATTTCTACCAGGACCCTCCGCACACCCTTTCCTAACACATCGAGCGCCTTGAGAATACCATTACAATCTGCGCGCCTCGGAAATGCCTCGTTCGCTGGCTTCCACAACAGCGCCGCGAGGTGGCAACAGGAGGCTCAGCAGAGCATTGAGGAAGATGGTCCCGTCACAGAGTTCCAGGACCTGGCCACACGCGGCCTTGTTCACCCCAACTTAATCAACACTATCACGAGGCAAATGAAGCTCACGACCATGACGGATGTGCAGTCCAGGACCATCAACGAGGCCTTGAGCGGGGTTGACATGTAAGATCTTTCTTCGATTGAAACTTCCATTCGCTAACATCCGGCAGCATCGCACAAGCAAAGACCGGTACCGGTAAAACACTCGGTTTCCTCATCCCTATCATCCAACGAATTATCGCGAACGACCCCCAGCTCGGCGAGAAGGTCAGAGGATACAAGCGCGCCAGACCAGACGACATCCGCGGCATTGTTATTTCGCCAACCCGTGAACTGGCAGAGCAGATCGCTGTCGAGGCGAAGAAAGTGACCGCCGGCACGGGCATCATCGTGCAGGTTGCTGTCGGAGGCACACAGAAGAGGGCTATGCTTCAAAAGACTCAGCGCGAGGGGTGCCATCTCATGATTGCTACTCCCGGACGACTGATGGACATTCTCTCAGACCCTTACTCCGGTATCAAGGCACCAAAGCTCAGAGCATTGGTCATGGACGAGGCGGATCGCCTCATGGACGACGGTTTCCAGAAGGAGATTGAAGAGATCAAGAACTTCCTTCCCGACCCAGCCGAGGTCGAACGCCAGAACCTCATGTTCTCCGCTACTATTCCCCGCGATGTCGTCAACCTAGTTCGCCAGATCATGCGTCCCGGCTTCCACTTCGCCAAGTGCGTCGATGAGAACGAGGAGCCAACACACCAGCGTATCCCGCAAAGACTCGTTCACCTGAACGGTTTCGAGAACGTCATGCCCACACTTTATGATCTGATCCTCCAGTCACAACAGAAGGCACAGGCTGGTGAAACCCGACCCTTCAAGGCCATCGTCTACTTCAACAGCACCGCTGAGGTAACCCTCGCAGCGTCAGTCTTCTACAAGCTCAATGGCGGCTTCAAGCGCAACACCCCACTTTCTGGCACCAGATGTTACGAGATTCACGCCAAGCTCACTCAACAGCAACGTTCAAGGGCTGCAGATGACTTCCGTCTCGCAAAGTCCGGCATCCTCTTCTCCTCAGATGTAACAGCCCGTGGAATGGATTTCCCCGAAGTCACCCACGTTATCCAGATTGGTCTCCCCCGTGAGCGCGACTCCTACATCCATCGTCTCGGCCGTACCGGACGTGCAGGCAAGGAGGGTGAGGGCTGGTTGCTCATCTCACCCTTTGAGAAGCAAGAAGTCCGCCGTCGTCTTCGCGACCTGCCTCTTGTCGACGCCACTGATATGCTCGAGACTGCCACGGTTGACATGAGCGAACCGGCGGAGCTCCCTGAGAACGTCGCAAAGATCCTCTCTGACACTGTCGAGGCACACAAGAAGGTCTACCCCGACCAACTCGATGCTGCATTCCGTGGTCTGTTCGGAAGCTACCAGTGGTACGGTGACAAGCAGGGTCTGCTAGAAGGCGCGAACCGTCTGGCTGAGTTTGGATGGGGCATGCCATCCCCACCCCCACCACCTGCTAGCCTCTACTCTGGAGGCCGCGGACGTGGCGGCGGTGGCCGTGGAGGCTTTGGTGGAGGACGTGGCGGCGGCGGCGGTGGCTTTGGTGGCCGAAGCGGAGGCTTTGGCGGTGACCGCGGCGGCCGCAGTGGAGGTTTCGGAGGTGACCGTGAAGGCCGCGGCGGAGGCTTTGGTGGTGACCGAGGTGGTCGACCTGGAGGATTTGGTGGTGACCGTGAAGGCCGAAGCGGAGGCTTCGGTGGCGACAGGAGAGGAGGCGGCGGTTTCGGCGGTGACCGCAGAGGAGGTGGTGGCGGCGACAGGAGAGGAGGTGGAGGCTTCGGTGGTGGTGACAGGCGTGGAGGCGGTGGTGGCTTCGGTGGTGACCGACCAAGGAGAGAGGCCCGCGAATTCTAAGCAGCTTTCCAGCTGTTGAAAGGAACTCTCGCCTCTTTCTTCTCCTCGCCCCACGTCCTTGAGATGTAAGTCTGCCACACTTCCCGTCTCGCCTTTTTTCCTTCTCTTTCTTGTACTATATACCTGTATACCCCCCACAGCAAGCTTGGAAACGAGGGATGATGACGGAGACATGTCATTGTATCGATACACACTGGTTGCATTGGGCGGCGTTTACAGGATCATGTCCCGCTCTAAAAAGCAGCAGCGCATGTTGTTGTTGTCGCCGCAGCGATCTCTTTTTGGGTTCTGGTTGGTAACGAAACGTATAAACAATCTCCATTCATACTTCTGGAGTTGGTTGTTCATGTAAAGGTAGTTAGTTGGTTTAGATTGAGAGAAAAGTTTTAGTTATCTGTGAAGAGAGTGTTTTGGGTTGGTGGATCCGTGATCAAAAAGATGTGGGTATGTTGTTGATGGTGTGCTTTTTAAGGGCATGCTGGACGTTTGATGGAGACAGCAGTAACTACCACGTTGAATTTCGGAAGGACTATGATTTTGGATTATCGAGTCCAAACCTGACATGTACAACACCTTCCTCTGTCGATCGCCCAAACATCCTCTCAGTCTTTGTTGTAGTTGCAACACCAACACGCGTCGGCAATGCAAGATGTTCTGTAGTGCAAAGTCGGCCCGTAAATACAGACACACATGCCACAATTAACCCCGAGAATCCAAGCTATGAGCTAACATAATTCCATTCTTCTTTCCCCCACAAATTTCCCATCCATTGGTCAAAAACTACTGCCCCCAAGTCTCCAACAACAAGATTATATATTTCAAAATCCCAAAAACTTCGAACGATTGCACCCGCGCATGGCTATGCGGAATCTAAGCACAATGTGCGATAGGCATGTACATGGCGTGTGCCCACACAGGTGTGATAATCACTACGATTACCCCACCTGTGCGGCCACACGCTTTATGCAGACCTTTCGCGCATTGTGGTTGTGGTTGAAATCTGTTCTGTGTGTTGCTATCGTTTTTTTGTTTCTATTAGCTGTTTGGTGGTAGCGAGCGGTATGGAGCGGAAAGAAAGAGACCCTAGGTTCGGTTCGAGATTGGGGAGAGTGGGTCTTTTTGGGGATATAAGATGGCATGGTTTCAGGAGGTAGGAGTTTTTTTGTAGGGTGTATGGGATGTAGAGGCGAGTGTTTCACTCACTGGGTGTGAAGGTAGATAGATCGCTGGATTGTGAGTTTGGTGTTCAAGGTTTGCGTCTCTTTGTTACTTGTCAAGATGGTAATGCTCGCAGGTAAGTAGAAGAATTCTGGTGTACGCAAATTGTAAATATCCTCTACAGTGTGCAGAACAACGCTTCGTCTCCTACATAACTCCAAAGAAGGGGAAATGACCACCAACAAGACCAGGAATCGCACTATCAACACTCCGTCACAACAAATCCGACTTCTCCTTCTCCTCATCAACTACCGTTCTAAACTCCTCAAACGCCTTCTTATCCATAGGATATGTATGTTCCGTTGCCGGGTACTCCCTACTCTTAACCTCGTCCCTGTACTGTGATATCGCCCGATGCGCCTCCTCCCACACATTCCCATACTGCTTGACAAACTTGGGCAAGAATCGTCCAGGTGGGAAGTTCCCCAACATATCAACTTGCACGAGCACCTGACCCGAACAGCCATTACCCGCTCCGATACCAATTGTTGGTATACGCAGTTCTCTGGTAACCACAGCAGCGACTTCAGCGGGCACGGCTTCTAGGACGACGGCAAAGGCACCGGCTTCTTGGACTGCGAGAGCGTCATCGAGGAGTTTCAAGGCGGAGTATGTGGATTTGCCTTGGACGCGGAAACCTCCTAGAGCGTTTTGGCGCTGGGGTGTGAGGCCGATGTGCGCGAGGACGGGGATGCCAGCAGATGTTATCTTGGCTATTGTAGGAGCCATCTCCTTACCGCCTTCCAGTTTGACTGATTTGACGCGGCCGATCTTGATCATGCGGATAGCGGATTCGAGGGCTTGGGCAGGGGAGATCTCGTAGGTTCCCATGGGGAGGTCGCCGACCTGGGAGGTTGTTAGTGGGTTGAGATGGGTTGGGCCCGAGTGGAGGGGAACATACTGTGAATGCGCCTTTTGTTGCGCGCGCAACGGACTTGCAGTGGAGGAGCATCTCTTCCATCAGCACTTCGCTCGTGTCTTCCATGCCTAGTGCTACCATGGCTAGACTGTCTCCGACGAGTATCATGTCCATGCCGGCGTGGTCGGCGACGTGGGCGCTGGGAAAGTCGTGCGCGGTTATCATGGTGATGGGCTCGTTCTTGCGGTAGAGACTCTGCAGCGTGTTGAGAGTGACGGGTTTACGCGCATTCGCTGGCGTTGCGCCCAGTGGAGAATGTGAACTCCATCGGATTTGTGCGGAAGGCAGTATGGCTCGATATATCGGCGACGACGGCGAGTATGCACGTGAAGTCGTCCGGATATGTCGCGAAGACGTTCGC